TCACTTAGCATCTTATTTCTTGGATTAAGAGCCCTTCAACAGCCTTCAGGGTAATAGTAAGTGGTAAACCCATATGGGTGGTGCCCCACTGGGGTCACACTCACCCCAGGAACGGAAGGCACTCAGGCTTGATTCAAGGTATTGTATTATTGTTCTGGGGGAGCGCTAAACCCATCAGGGTATGATCATAACTAGGCACTAAATTCATCAGGGTATGCAGTCCTAGCCATAGCCACATCCACTTGCACGCATCCAGACACTGGGTAGAAAGAGAACATGACCAGTCAGGTACAGGTCAAGTATTGTACATGACTCACATGAGTGCGTGTCATCCAATGTTCAACTGCAACTAAATATGTATTAAAAATGGTATAAAATACCGACAGGTTGTTAGGTAAGACACATATGCAATATACCTAACTGTTGCATATGTGTCTTGCATAACAACTGCAGCTAAAACAAGTGACACTGAAAGACACAAAATATTGCCAAACACAATAAAACTGAAGAACCAGCACATATACACAAACAATGAAAATCAAGGATACACCGGAGACCCAGTGGAAATAAGTCACTTCTCTGACTTTTCTGGGGCTTATCCTAGGTAATTTACACATGTTATTATATATGATAATTTGTTTTATGACTGGCAAACCTACCAGTCAGTTGGCAAACCTGCCAGTCAGCTAGCAAATCTACCAGTCAGCTAGCAAATCTACCAGTCAGCTGGCAAACCTGCCAGTCAGCTGGCAAATCTACCAGTCAGCTGGCAAACCTACCAGTCAGCTGGCAAACCTGCCAGTAAGCTGGCAAACCTACCAGTCAGCTGGCAAACCTGCCAGTCAGCTAGCAAATCTACCAGTCAGCTGGCAAACCTGCCAGTCAGCTAGCAAATCTACCAGTCAGCTGGCAAACCTACCAGTCAGCTGGCAAACCTGCCAGTCAGCTGGCAAATCTACCAGTCAGCTGGCAAACCTACCAGTCAGCTGGCAAACCTGCCAGTAAGCTGGCAAACCTACCAGTCAGCTGGCAAACCTGCCAGTAAGCTGGCAAACCTACCAGTCAGCTGGCAAACCTGCCAGTAAGCTGGCAAACCTACCAGTCAGCTAGCAAATCTGCCAGTAAGCTGCACCAGTGATAAAAAAACCCAGAATGAACCATCAATACGTGCTTTTACGTGTAATGTCTAAGGCTTAACATAACTTTATTACCATTACCATGAATAATATTTTTTTTTTTTCCAAAATTTAGGCAGTCAAACTTGGAAGGAGAATGAACGGGAAGGCGAGCATCTTCGGCACACTGGAGCATCTTGTGTGCCAGGAACGGGAAGGTGAGCATCCTCGGCACACTGGAGCATCTTGTGTGCCAGGAACGGGAAGGTGAGCATCCTCGGCACACTGGAGCATCTTGTGTGCCAGGAACGGGAGAGGTGAGCATCTTCGGCACACTGGAGCATCTTGTGTGCCAGGAACGGGAAGATGAGCATCCTCGGCACACTGGAGCATCTTGTGTGCCAGGAACGGGAAGGTGAGCATCCTCGGCACACTGGAGCATCTTGTGTGCCAGGAACGGGAAGGTGAGCATCCTCGGCACACTGGAGCATCTTGTGTGCCAGGAACGGGAAGGTGAGCATCTTCGGCACACTGGAGCATCTTGTGTGCCAGGAACGGGAAGGTGAGCATCCTCGGCACACTGGAGCATCTTGTGTGCCAGGAACGGGAAGGTGAGCATCCTCGGCACACTGGAGCATCTTGTGTGCCAGGAACGGGAAGGTGAGCATCCTCGGCACACTGGAGCATCTTGTGTGCCAGGAACGGGAAGGTGAGCATCCTCGGCACACTGGAGCATCTTGTGTGCCAGGAACGGGAAGGTGAGCATCCTCGGCACACTGGAGCATCTTGTGTGCCATAAAATATAGTACCTCTCACCCTTCTCAACCAGGAGACAATTTCTTTTCCTACAACTCTAAGTTTGACAGTACCTCATGGAATAAATTATTTACTCTTCATCCAACATCTCTCATAGACTATCTTTCCCACTATAGGTAAGCCCACAGTCAATATTCTTAACACCATTGTTATGGTGCATAATGCTAGGTAAGCCCACAATATTCTTAACACCACTGACAATATTCCTGTTACAATCCATAAACACATTTCCATCAACTCTTGCTGGGGAACTGTTGTTTGTCCGCATACCGTTGTTCCAGGAGACTTTCTAACATAAGATGCAGACATTATGGAGTAACTCGAGCTCCAGGATCTTCCAATTCTTGACGTAGACAGTTATGTCCTACCAGCTCATGGGCGAAGACGCTATCCTTGTAATACAGCTAAGTTAACTTTCGACTGTTGTCAACTTCAACTTCTGTTTATACAGTAGGACAGTGCTTACGAGTACAGTGGACCCCCGGTTAACGATATTTTTTCATTCCAGAAGTATATTCAGGTGCCAGTACTGACCGAATTTGTTCCTATAAGGAATATTGTGAATAAGATTAGTCCATTTCAGACCCCCAAACATACACGTACAAACGCACTTACATAAATACACTTACATAATTGGTCGCATTGGGAGGTGATCATTAACCCTTTGAGGGTTTTCGTCGTACTAGTACGTCTTACGCGTAGGGGTTTTTGACGTACTAGTACTCATAAATTCTAGCGGCCTCAAATCTAGTGGGAGAAAGCTGGTAGGCCTTCATATGAAAGAATGGGTCTATGTGGTCAGTGTGCACAGTCTAAAAAAAATCCTGCAGCACACAGTGCATAATGAGAAAAAAAAAACTTTGACCATTTTTTTTTAACAAATCAGCGACTTTGCAGCGTATTTTCGTATGGTATTTATTGTTGTATTCTAGTTTTCTTGGTCTTATTTTATAGAATGGAAGACATATTACAGAAATAGAGATGATTTTGACTGGTTTTACAAAGAAAGGTGCCTTGAAATTGAGCTCAAAGTAGCAGAAATGTTCGATTTTTACCAAACTTCAAAAGTAAATAAATCGTGCCAAGCGTGCAATACACGTCAACTGGTGAGTCTAATATTCTTTCACAAGTGCACCAATAATATTTATACCATTTTTTACACTAATGCAGTAGTCTGCATAACAGTAAATCTTATATTTTTTGTGAAAATAAAAATTCAAAGTGGAAAGCAAAAGAATATAAGAGGGGCCTTGAGACGTGAATAATGACTAGAGGAAATGTCATTTTAGTGCCAGGAATGTCTTTCTTGTTTATTCTGGACCCTATTCGGAAATTGGCATCTTTTGAAATTTGTGTGAAATTGGCAAAATTGCTAAATTCTGACCACTGTACTGGATAGTTGAATTTCATAAATGATGGTTTCTTGCACCCATTCGATAGAAAAAATGGAGTTCTAGCGAAATATTCATGTTTTTTGTCGACTAGTACAGTGAAATTGGCCGAAAATGGGGCTCAAAGTGGGCAAAATCGCCGATGCGTAAACATCGCCGAGACCGCTAACTTTGCGAGAGCATAATTCCGTAAGTTTTCTATCAAATTTCAAACTTTTGGTGTCTTTATGATCGGGAAAAGATTCTCTATCTTTTCATAAGAAAAAATAATTTTTTTTTTTTTTTAAATTTGGCCGACCCTGAGAACGAGTTTCGGAGAGGGCCTGTCGACCCTCAAAGGGTTAAGCGGGGGTCCACTGTACAAGAATTCATCCCTACACCACTATGTACAAATTGCTGGTGCTTTGTCCACTCAGCAAAATATTGTAGGTTACTGGTGGAATGGTGGGTTTGTGGTGCAGGTGAGCATAGCAAACCATCCTGCAGGCTACCTCCCACTTTCCTCAAGGTAGAAGGTAGGATGCTTTTTCTTTCTTTCAACGCACGGCCGTATCCCACCGAGGCAGGGTGGCCCAAAAATAAAAACAATAGTTTCTCTTTATAAATTTAATAATGTATACAGAAGGGGTTACTAGCCACTTGTTTCCGGCATTTTAGTTGCCTCTTACAATGCGCACAGCTTACGGAGGAAGGATTCTGTTCCACTTCTCCCATGGACAGGATGCTTTTTATAACTTAATAATTAATTAATACACCTCTTTGCGAGACTTAATGTGTATATTTACAGTGAAGAAATTCCTCAAAATACAGGCTTCCCTAACTAATAAACAATTTGTATTTCTGGTGCTGTAACTTACAAATAAGTTTAGTGTGGTAAGTTACAAGCAAATTGTTCATAAAGAACAAAAAGTGCCATTAACTCTGGCTGGAAGAAATCATAAATAACTCGTACTTAAGAGGGCAAACTTGGCGTGACATTTTGCTTAGTCCGGAATCAGTCACATCTTTTGTTACTTGTTAAGTTCTTTGTAATATGAAACCTAATTTATGATGGAAAACAATAATACTACAAAGAATGTTTGTGTGCCATACATTTGTAACACTGGATCAACACCCAGGAAAGTGTTCTCAAATGTTATTGCTGAAGGAGCTGGTTTGTGTGTGGATGTTCCCATAAGTTAGAGGTCTCCTGTACTTTATTCTCAGATGCTTTCTACTCATTAACAATAAGTTACTTTATGAAAATAAATTAATCTCAGATATTTTCCTTAAATTAAGACACTTACACAAAATTAACAGCTCAATGGATTCCAATTTTGTACCTACGACTCCAGTCATCAACATTTTTATCTGAAATATTTAAGTGACATTCTGACTCCAGTAATACCATATAAAATGGTAAAAATGTATTGAATGACACCCCTCACAAATATAAACAACTACTGCAGTAGTAATTAAACTTACATCGAGCTCAAACTAAAAAAAAAAAATGCTTTACATTTTATTACAAGGGTTATACAAATTGTTGTGTACTCTGAGCGGAGAGGTCGAGTATTCTCCAAGCAGCACGAGCGTTGACTTCTGTTTGGTCCCTACATAGTACCCACACATACTGCACTCTCAGCACCTTACTGGGGTCACCTTCCACAACCTGCGGTAAAACAATTCATTATACTACATTTGTACTGAATTATTACTTTCTGTTGGCAAAACAAACTGACTTAATATTGTGACGAAATACAACATCGGTGTTGGCCATACAGTATTGGGGAAATAGGTCATAAGTTAGATCCTAAAAACGGTAAGATAGAACCATCTTCTTGGATCAAGCATCAAGTTGTCGTCCTTGAAGACGGTAAGATAGAACCATCTTCTTGGATCAAGCATCAAGTTGTCGTCCTTGAAGACGGTAAGATAGAACCATCTTCTTGGATCAAACATCAAGTTGTCGTCCTTGAAGACGGTAAGATAGAACCATCTTCTTGGATCAAGCATCAAGTTGTCATCCTTGAAGACGGTAAGATAGAACCATCTTCTTGGATCAAGCATCAAGTTGTTGTCCTTGAAGAAGTTACAAATAAAAAAGGGACTTTATTCTGCTGGAATATTATTGTTATTTACCTGGCAAGTGATTTAGAGGTACAGAGTTTCACTGGAAAAATTGGACACTTCCTACTACAAGTGACAAATCAAGCAGGTTGTGCTGGATCTACAGGCCTGCTGATGCTAGCACCAACAGCCTATTTGACAAAGTAGTAAACAATGAAGTCTGACTGCAGGTCAGACTCGGAACAAAGTAGGAAATCCCTCAGAGGTATGTGGTAAGGCAAGAACAACATATGTTGCATATTCTAGAGTATTTAGTCATCCACAAGACTAGATCATAGTTTTGTCTGTATCTTAACAACAGTCTTCCACCAAGGTAATGTAGGCTGACCTACAGCAAATACATTTACCATCATATATTCAATCACCATCTTGTCAGACGACCGCTGACACTACAAATCAGAGTAGCCTCTGTCTGTAACATCCTTCAGTGTGCAGACACTGCCCTTCCCACCTCCAGGACTCAAGTCCAGCTAACCAGTTTCCCTGAACTCCTTCATAAAAGTTACCTCACTCTCCAACACTCATCATTATGAGGTAGTGCTGGGGTTACCTTACTCACTCTCCAACACTCACCATTATGAGGTAGTGCTGGGGTTACCTTACTCACTCTCCAACACTCACCATTATGAGGTAGTGCTGGGGTTACCATACTCACTCTCCAACACTCACCATTATGAGGTAGTGCTGGGGTTACCTTACTCTCCAACACTCATCATTATGAGGTAGTGCTGGGGTTACCTTACTCACTCTCCAACACTCACCATTATGAGGTAGTGCTGGGGTTACCTTACTCACTCTCCAACACTCACCATTATGAGGTAGTGCTGGGGTTACCTTACTCACTCTCCAACACTCATCATTATGAGGTAGTGCTGGGGTTACCTTACTCTCCAACACTCATCATTATGAGGTAGTGCTTGGGTTACCTTACTCACTCTCCAACACTCACCATTATGAGGTAGTGCTGGGGTTACCTTACTCACTCTCCAACATTCACCATTATGAGGTAGTGCTGGGGTTACCTTACTCTCCAACATTCACCATTATGAGGTAGTGCTGGGGTTACCTTACTCTCCAACACTCACCATTATGAGGTAGTGCTGGGGTTACCTTACTCTCCAACATTCACCATTATGAGGTAGTGCTGGGGTTACCTTACTCTCCAATATTCACCATTATGAGGAAGTGCAGGGGTTACCTCACTCTCCAACACTCACCATTATGAGGTAGTGCTGGGGTTACCTCACTCTCCAACACTCACCATTATGAGGAAGTGCTGGGGTTACCTCACTCTCCAACACTCACCATTATGAGGTAGTGCTGGGGTTACCTTACTCTCCAATATTCACCATTATGAGGAAGTGCTGGGGTTACCTCACTCTCCAACACTCACCATTATGAGGTAGTGCTGGGGTTACCTCACTCTCCAACACTCACCATTATGAGGTAGTGCTGGGAAAATGGTCAGCTATGATCTATGAATTATGAAAGGGAAGGGTAGCTCTAAATCCTTGGATCAGAAGACTTACATCTTTCAAGTTATTGAAAGCTTGTTATGCTAACTAATTTTTTTCAATTTAAATTTAATTATAAGAAAATGATTTATTTTTTGGAAGTTTACAAAAAAAAAAATAATTAGTATGGGGTCATACCATGCCTAGGGAATGTGAGGTGATCAAGTCTGATCCAAGGGAAGGGAGCTTCATTTCATCAAGAGCCCTTCACCAGCATCAAGGCACCATGGAAGGGTCCTACTATACAAAGGCCACTATTAAAAGCTCCAAAAAATATATTAAAATAATTACACATCAATAGTGATCAGTTTTCAACACACCACAAAGTGACTGACGTTCCTCATTATTACAGTACTTTGTATGATTTACTTTGCTGTTGGAGTGTGAGTAAACTAACCTTTTTGAAGGGAAAACAAGTTAGCTGGACTTGAGTCCTGGAGGTGGAAAGTGTTGTGTCTGCAACAATGAAGGTGGGAATGTTGCAGTCCTGGTGGTGGGAAGTATTGTCTCTGCAACACTGAAGGATGGGTGAGAATGTTGCAGTCCTGGTGGTGGGAAAATATTGTCTCGCAACACTGAAGGATGGGTGAGAATGTTGCAGTCCTGGTGGTGGGAAGTATTGTCTCTGCAACACTGAAGGATGGGTGAGAATGTTGCAGTCCTGGTGGTGGGAAGTATTGTGTCTGCAGCACTGAAGGATGGGTGGGAATGTTGCAGTCCTGGTAGTGGGAAGTATTGTGTCTGCAGCACTGAAGGATGGGTGGGAATGTTGCAGTCCTGGTGGTGGGAAGTAGTGTCTGCAACATTGAAGGATGGGTGGGAATGTTGCAGTCCTGGTGGTGGGAAATACAGTGTCTGCAACACTGAAGGATGGGTGAGAATGTTGCAGTCCTGGTGGTTGGAAGTAGTGTCTGCAACACTGAAGGATGGGTGAGAATGTTGTAGTCCTGGTGGTGGGAAGTACTGTGTCTGCAACACTGAAGGATGGGTGGGAATGTTGCAGTCCTGGTGGTTGGAAGTAGTGTCTGCAACACTGAAGGATGGGTGAGAATGTTGTAGTCCTGGTGGTGGGAAGTACAGTATCTGCAACACTGAAGGATGGGTGGGAATGTTGCAGTCCTGGTGGTGGGAAGTATTGTGTCTGCAGCACTGAAGGATGGGTGGGAATGTTGCAGTCCTGGTGGTGGGAAGTACAGTGTCTGCAGCACTGAAGGATGGGTGGGAATGTTGCAGTCCTGGTGGTGGGAAGTATTGTGTCTGCAGCACTGAAGGATGGGTGGGAATGTTGCAGTCCTGGTGGTGGGAAGTACAGTGTCTGCAGCACTGAAGGATGGGTGGGAATGTTGCAGTCCTGGTGGTGGGAAGTATTGTGTCTGCAGCACTGAAGGATGGGTGGGAATGTTGCAGTCCTGGTGGTGGGAAGTACAGTGTCTGCAGCACTGAAGGATGGGTGGGAATGTTGCAGTCCTGGTGGTGGGAAGTACAGTGTCTGCAACACTGAAGGATGAGTGGGAATGTTGCAGTCCTGGTGGTAGAAATACAGTGCCTATACAATGAAGGATGGGTGGGGATGTTACAGTTCAGAGGGTCATCTGAATTGTGATCTCAGCACACTTCTAACATGACAGTGATTGATTGAATGACAGTGAAAGTATTTCCCCCCTTTTTTTTTTTTGATCACTTCACCTAGGTGGGAGATGGTTAGCATGTTGAAATAATCTAAAGACTTCATGTTAAGTGACTGACCTCTCACTTGTTGTTACTAAGACAGTATAAACACACCACATTAAGTGACTGACCTCTCACTTGTTGTTACTAAGTATAAACACACCACATTAAGTAACTGACCTCTTGCTTGTTATTACGAAGACACATTATCTGTTGGGCTTGAAAAGCTACAGCCAACACAGGACCTTCCTCCATCACTTTACCCATAACCAGGTCAACATTATCCACATCTAATACCTGCAACAAATTTATATTACTAACATCCTTCATGATTACATCATTATTAGGATAATGAGTTAGTTATATATGCAACACCTGGGTGTTTTTATTTTGAAGCTGTATCACCATGGGGAAGTGGAGAAGAATCCTTGTTTCACAAGTCATGCATGTTGTGAGAGGCGACTACAATGATGGCAGGAAGGGGCTAGTAACCCCTTCTGTATCAAATATTAAATAATAGCAGGAAGGGGCTGTAACCCCTTCTGTATCAAATATTAAGTAATAGCAGGAAGGGGCTAGTAAGCCCTTCTGTATCAAATATTAAATAATAGCAGGAAGGGGCTAGTAAGCCCTTCTGTATTAAATAATAGCAGGAAGGGGCTAGTAAGCCCTTCTGTATTAAATAATAGCAGGAAGGGGCTAGTAAGCCCTTCTGTATCAAATATTAAATAATAGCAGGAAGGGGCTAGTAAGCCCTTCTGTATCAAATATTAAATAATAGCAGGAAGGGGCTAGTAACCCCTTCTGTATCAAATATTAAATAATAGCAGGAAGGGGCTAGTAAGCCCTTCTGTATTAAATAATAGCAGGAAGGGGCTAGTAAGCTCTTCTGTATCAAATATTAAATAATAGCAGGAAGGGGCTAGTAACCCCTTCTGTATCAAATATTAAATAATAGCAGGAAGGGGCTAGTAAGCCCTTCTGCATCAAATATTATATAATAGCAGGAAGGGGCTAGTAAGCCCTTCTGTATCAAATATTAAATAATAGCAGGAAGGGGCTAGTAACCCCTTCTGTATCAATTATATAATAGGAGTAAGGGGCTAGTAATCCCTTCTGTTTCAAATATTAAATAATAGCAGGAAGGGGCTAGTAAGCCCTTCTGTATCAAATATAAAATAATAGCAGGAAGGGGCTAGTAACCCTTCTGTATCAAATATTAAATAATAGCAGGAAGGGGCTAGTAATCCCTTCTGTTTCAAATATTAAATAATAGCAGGAAGGGGCTAGTAAGCCCTTCTGTATCAAATAATAAATAATAACAGGAAGGGGCAAGTAAGCCCTTCTGTATCAAATATTAAATAATAGCAGGAAGCAGCTAGTAATCCCTTCTGTTTCAAATATTAAATAATAGCAGGAAGGAACTAGTAACCCCTTCTGCATCAAATATTAAATAATAGGAGTAAGGGGCTAGTAATCCCTTCTGTTTCAAATATTAAATAATAGCAGGAAGGGGCTAGTAAGCCCTTCTGTGTCAAATATTAAATAATAGCAGGAAGGGGCTAGTAACCCCTTCTGTATCAAATATTAAATAATAGCAGGAAGGGGCTAGTAAGCCCTTCTGTATCAATTAAATAATAGCAGGAAGGGGCTAGTAATCCCTTCTGTTTCAAATATTAAATAATAGCAGGAAGGGGCTAGTAACCCCTTCTGTATCAAATATTAAATAATAGGAGTAAGGGGCTAGTAATCCCTTCTGTTTCAAATATTAAATAATAGCAGGAAGGGGCTAGTATGCCCTTCTGTATCAAATATTAAATAATAGCAGGAAGGGGCTAGTAATCCCTTCTGTATCAAATATTAAATAATAGCAGGAAGGGGCTAGTAACCCCTTCTGTATCAAATATTAAATAATAGCAGGAAGGGGCTAGTAATCCCTTCTGTATCAAATATTAAATAATAGCAGGAAGGGGCTAGTAATCCCTTCTGTTTCAAATATTAAATAATAGCAGGAAGGGGCTAGTAACCCTTTCTGTATCAATATTAAATAATAGCAGGAAGGGGCTAGTAACCCCTTCTGTTTCAAATACTAAATAATAGCAAGAAGGAGCTAGTAACCCTTCTGTATCAATATTAAATAATAGCAGGAAGGGGCTAGTAACCCCTTCTGTTTCAAATACTAAATAATAGCAGGAAGGGGCTAGTAACCCCTTCTGTATCAAATATTAAATAATAGCAGGAAGGGGCTAGTAACCCCTTCTGTATCAAATATTAAATAATAGCAGGAAGGGGCTAGTAACCCCTTCTGTATCAAATATTAAATAATAGCAGGAAGGAGCTAGTAACCCCTTCTGTATCAAATATTAAATAATAGCAGGAAGGGGCTAGTAACCCTTCTGTATCAATATTAAATAATAACAGGAAGGGGCTAGTAACCCCTTCTGTATCAAATATTAAATAATAGCAGGAAGGAGCTAGTAACCCTTCTGTATCAATATTAAATAATAGCAGGAAGGGGCTAGTAACCCCTTCTGTATCAAATATTAAATAATAGCAGGAAGGGGCTAGTAACCCCTTCTGTTTCATATATCAAATAATAGCAGGAAGGGGCTAGTAACCCCTTCTGTATCAAATATTAAATAATACCAGGAAGGGGCTAGTAACCCTTCTGTATCAAATATTAAATAATAGCAGGAAAGGGCTAGTAACCCCTTCTGTATCAAATATTAAATAATAGCAGGAAGGGGCGAGTAACCCTTCTGTATCAAATATTAAATAATACCAGGAAGGGGCTAGTAACCCCTTCTGTATCAAATATTAAATAATAGCAGGAAGGGGCTAGTAACCCCTTCTGTATCAAATATTAAATAATAGCAGGAAGGGGCTAGTAACCCTTCTGTATCAATATTAAATAATAGCAGGAAGGGGCTAGTAACCCCTTCTGTATCAAATATTAAATAATAGCAGGAAGGGGCTAGTAACCCTTCTGAATCAATATTAAATAATAGCAGGAAGGGGCTAGTAACCCCTTCTGTATCAAATATTAAATAATAGCACGAAGGGGCTAGTAACCCTTCTGTATCAAATATTAAATGTAAAATAAAGAAAAGTTTACATTTATTTATTTTTCAGGTGACACAGTGTTGGTGGGAGGCGGCCGCCGTTGTTACAAACAATAACTAAGGTGACACAGTGTTGGTGGGAGGCGGCCGCCGTTCTTACAAAAAAATAACTAAGGTGACACAGTGTTGGTGGGAGGCGGCCACCGTTGTTACAAACAATAACTAAGGTGACACAGTGTTGGTGGGAGGCGGCCGCCGTTCTTACAAACAATAACCAGCAAATCTTTCAATTTAAAGCCGCTGTTGCAGAAACATCTTCATAATAATATGTTGCAGTGTTGCCAGAGTCTAATTTATCAACTGGTCAACACTACAGACCATTCAAGTGATTATTAATTTACATATTAATGGTAAGTGGTAAACCCTAAGGGGTAACACTGCGCTTGATAAATAAAAGGAATCATTAATATAATCATAGGGAAGAACTAAACCCATAAGGGTTGTACAGTGCCTGAGGACTGAGACAGAGTAATTAGGTTTTAATTCCTTTGAACCCATCAAACTCCAGGTACCTTACCCTTCTGACCACATCAATCTCTAGGTGCATTACCCTTCTGACCACATAAAACTCCAGGTACCTTACCCTTCTGACCACATCAAACTCCAGGTACCTTACCCTTCTGACCACATCAATCTCCAGGTGCATTACCCTTCTGACCACATCAATCTCCAGGTACCTTACCCTTCTGACCACATCAAACTCCAGGTACCTTACCCTTCTGACCACATCAATCTCCAGGTGCCTTACCCTTCAGACCACATCAATCTCCAGGTACCTTACCCTTCTGACCACATCAAACTCCAGGTACCTTACCCTTCTGACCACATCAATCTCCAGGTACCTTACCCTTCTGACCACATCAATCTCCAGGTGCCTTACCCTTCTGACCACATCAATCTCCAGGTACCTTACCCTTCTGACCACATCAATCTCCAGGTGCATTACCCTTCTGACCACATAAAACTCCAGGTACCTTACCCTTCTGACCATATCAAACTCAAGGTACCTTACCCTTCTGACCACATCAAACTCGAGGTACCTTACCCTTCTGACCACATCAATCTCCAGGTACCTTACCCTTCTGACCAAATCAAGCTCCAGGTACCTTACCCTTCTGACCATATCAAACTCAAGGTACCTTACCCTTCTGACCATATCAAACTCGAGGTACCTTACCCTTCTGATCACATCAAACTCCAGGTACCTTACCTTTCTGACCACATCAAACTCCAGGTACCTTACCCTTCTGACCACATCAAACTCCAGGTACCTTACCCTTCTGACCACATCAATCTCCAGGTACCTTACCCTTCTGACCACATCAAACTCGAGGTACCTTACCCTTCTGACCAAATCAAGCTCCAGGTACCTTACCCTTTTGACCACATCAATCTCCAGGTACCTTACCCTTCTGACCACATCAAACTCCAGGTACCTTACCCTTCTGACCACATCAATCTCCAGGTACCTTACCCTTCTGACCACATCAAACTCCAGGTACCTTACCCTTCTGACCACATCAAACTCCAGGTACCTTACCCTTCTGACCACATTTAAACTCCAGGTACCTTACCCTTCTGACCATATCAAACTCAAGGTACCTTACCCTTCTGACCACATCAAACTCCAGGTACCTTACCCTTCTGACCAAATCAAACTCCAGGTACCTTACCCTTCTGACCACATTCAAACTCAGGTACCTTACCCTTCTGACCACATCAATCTCCAGGTACCTTACCCTTCTGACCACATCAATCTCCAGGTACCTTACCCTTCTGACCACATCAAACTCCAGGTACCTTACCCTTCTGACCACATCAAACTCCAGGTACCTTACCCTTCTGACCACATCTAACTCCAGGTACCTTACCCTTCTGACCACATCAAACTCCAGGTACCTTACCCTTCTGACCAAATCAAACTCCAGGTGCCTTACCCTTCTGACCACATCAAACTCCAGGTACCTTACCCTTCTGACCACATCAAACTCCAGGTACCTTACCCTTCTGACCACATCAAACTCCAGGTACCTTACCCTTCTGACCACATCAATCTCCAGGTACCTTACCCTTCTGATCACATCAATCCCCAGCTGCTTTACCCCCTTTCATTCTACCCACAGTCTCAAGCACCTTCCCCACACTCACACAGCCTCAAGCACCTCCAGCACACTCACACAACCTCAAGCACTTCCAGCACACTCACACAGCCTCAAGCACCTCCCCCACACTCACACAACCTCAAGCACGTCCAGCACACTCACACAGCCTCAAGCGCCTCCAGCACACTCACACAGCGTCAAGCACCTCCAGCACACTCTCACAGCCTCAAGCACCTCCAGCACACTCACACAGCGTCAAACACCTCCAGCACACTCACACCCGCTCAAGCACCTCCCCACACTCACACAGCCTCAAGCACCTCCAGCACACTCACACAGCATCAAGCACCTCCCCCACACTCACACAGCCTCAAGCACCTCCAGCACACTCACACAGCATCAAACACCTCCAGCACACTCACACAGCATCAAGCACCTCCCCCACACTCACACAGCCTCAAGCACCTCCAGCACACTCACACAGCATCAAGCACCTTCCCACACTCACACAGCCTCAAGCACTCCAGCACACTCACACAGCATCAAACACCTCCAGCACACTCACACAGCGTCAAACACCTCCAGCACACTCACACAGCGTCAAGCACCTCCCCCACACTCACACACCCTCAAGCACCTCCAGCACACTCACACAGCATCAAGCACCTCCCCACACTCACACAGCCTCAAGCACCTCCACACACTCACACAGCATCAAACACCTCCAGCACACCCCACACAGCATCAAGCACATCCCCCACACTCACACAGCCTCAAGCACCTCCAGCACACTCACACAGCATCAAGCACCTTCCCCACACTCACACAGCCTCAAGCACCTCCAGCACACTCACACAGCATCAAACACCTCCAGCACACTCACACAGCGTCAAACAACCTCCAGCACACTCACACAGCCTCAAGCACCTCCCCCACACTCACACAGCCTCAAGCACCTCCAGCACACTCACAAAGCATCAAGCACCTCCCCCACACTCACACAGCCTCAAGCACCTCCAGCACACTCACACAGCGTCAAGCACCTCCCCCACACTCACACAGCGTCAAACACCTCCAGCACACTCACACATCGTCAAACACCCTCCAGCACACTCACACAGCCTCAAGCAACCTCCAGCCCCACTCACACAGCTCAAAGCACCTCCAGCACACTCACACAGCCTCAAGCACCTCCAGCACACTCACACAGCCTCAAGCACCTCCAGCACACTCACACAGTGTCAAGCACCTCCCCACACTCACACAGCCTCAAGCACCTCCAGCACACTCACACAGCGGTCAAATCACCTCCAGCACACTCACACAGTGTCAAACACCTCCAGCACATCCCCACAAAACCTCAAGCACCTCCCAAGCACCTCCAGCACACTCACCACTCAGCCTCTAGCACCTCCAGCACACTCACACAGCCTCTAGCACCTCCAGCACACTCACACAGCTCATCCAGCCCCCACCTCCCCCCCCCACTCACAAGCCTCAAGCACCCTCCAGCACACTCACACAGCCCCCAAGCACCTCCAGCACACTCACACAGTGTCAAACACCTCCAGCACACTCACACAGCCTCAAGCACCTCCAGCACACTCACACAACCTCAAGCACCTCCAGCACACTCACACAGCGTCAAACACCTCCAACACACTCACACAGCGTCAAACACCTCCAGCACACTCACACAGCTTCAAACACCTCCAACACACTCACACAGCGTCAAGCACCTCCAGCACACTCACACAACCTCAAGCACCTCCAGCACACTCACACAGCCTCAAGCACCTCCAGCACACTCACACAGCCTCAAGCACCTCCCCCACACTCACATCTGGCTCTCCCCTACTTCTAAAAGATGTTAACCTCCCCAGCCAATGCATAAAAATCACTGCCTCTTAATCTTATGTGAAAATAATAATTATTATTATTATTATTATCATTATGTTCCCACCTTAGAATCGAAGGTAAATCCTAGTTGAAAGGCTTGTTTGACCGGTGTTGCAATCACTGAATACGCTCTCTCGTAGCACCAGTCTCGCAGGATCTGTCAAATATATTGTATTTAATACACTATCTGGTAGCACCAGTCTCGCAGGATCTGTCAAATATATTGTATTTAATACACTCTCTGGTAGCACCAGTCTCGCAGGATCTGTATAATATATTGTATTTAATACACTCTCTCGTAGCACCAGTCTCGCAGGATCTGTCTAATATATTGTATTTAATACACTCTCTGGTAGCACCAGTCTCGCAGGATCTGTCTAATATATTGTATTTAATACACTCTCTGGTAGCACCAGTCTCGCAGGATCTGTCAAAATATTTATTTAATACACTATCTGGTAGCACCAGTCTCGCAGGATCTGTCTAATATATTGTATTTAATAACACTATGGTAGCCCAGTCTCGCAGGATCTGTCTAATATATTGTATTTAATACACTATCTGGTAGCACCAGTCTCGCAGGATCTGTCTAATATATTGTATTTAATACACTCTCTGGTAGCACCAGTCTCGCAGGATCTGTCTAATATATTGTATTTAATACACTCTCTGGTAGCACCAGTCTCGCAGGATCTGTCTAATATATTGTATTTAATACACTCTCTCATAGCACCAGTCTCGCAGGATCTGTCTAATATATTGTATTTAATACACTATCTGGTAGCACCAGTCTCGCAGGATCTGTCTAATATATTGTATTTAATACACTATCTGGTAGCACCAGTCTCGCAGGATCTGTCTAATATATTGTATTTAATACACTCTCTGGTAGCACCAGTCTCGCAGGATCTGTCTAATATATTGTATTTAATACACTATCTGGTAGCACCAGTCTCGCAGGATCTGTCTAATATATTGTATTTAATACACTCTCTCATAGCACCAGTCTCGCAGGATCTGTCTAATATATTGTATTTAATACACTATCTGGTAGCACCAGTCTCGCAGGATCTGTCTAATATATTGTATTTAATACACGATCTGGTAGCACCAGTCTCGCAGGATCTGTCTAATATATTGTATTTAATACACGATCTGGTAGCACCAGTCTCGCAGGATCTGTCTAATATATTGTGTTTAATACACTCTCTTCTAACTGTAATTTATTTTAGAATGATTTTAATATTTTTAACAGTTGTACATGATAGTTAACAGTTCTACATGATAGTTAACAGTTCTACATGATAGTTAACAGTTGTACATGATAGTTAACAGTTCTACATGATAGTTAACAGTTGTACATGATAGTTAACAGTTGTACATGATAGTTAACAGTTCTCATGATCGTTAACAGTTGTAATGATAGTTAACAGTTGTACATGATAGTTAACCCGTTGTACATGATCGTTAAAAGTTGTACATGATAGTTAACAGTTGTACATGATAGTTAACAGTTGTACATTTAGTTAACAGTTGTACATGTAGTTAACAGTTCTACATATAGTTAACAGTTCTACATGATAGTTAACAGTTGTACATGATAGTTAACAGTTGTACATGATAGTTAACAGTTGTACATGATAGTTAACAGTTGTACATGATAGTTAACAGTTGTACATGATAGTTAACAGTTCTACATGATAGTTAACAGTTGTACATGATAGTTAACAGTTGTAAATGATAGTTAACAGTTGTACATGATAGTTAACAGTTGTAAAATGATAGTTAACAGTTGTACATGATAGTTAACAGTTGTACATGATAGTTAACAGTTGTACATGATAGTTAACAGTTGTACATGATAGTTAACAGTTGTACATGATAGTTAACAGTTCTACATGATAGTTAACCCGTTGTACATGATAGTTAACAGTTGTACATGATAGTTAACAGTTGTACATGATAGTTAACAGTTGTAAATGATAGTTAACAGTTGTACATGATAGTTAACAGTTGTACATGATAGTTAACAGTTGTACATGATAGTTAACAGTTGTACATGATAGTTAACAGTTGTACATGATAGTTAACAGTTGTACATGATAGTTAACAGTTCTACATGATAGTTTTGTTATATAATGTACTCTAGTAAGGTATAATTATATTACAAGTTGTATAACACTGTACAAGACTGTATAATACAGTGTATAGTGGTCCCTACAGTGGTGGTCCCTACAGTGGTGGTCCCTACAGTGGTGGTCCCTACAGTGGTGGTCCCTACAGTGGTACCTTGTTATAATGTACAGTGGTCCCTACAGTGGTGGTCCCTACAGTGGTGGTCCCTACAGTGGTCCCTACAGTGGTGGTCCCTACAGTGGTGGTCCCTACAGTGGTGGTCCCTACAGTGGTGGTCCCTACAGTGGTGGTCCCTACAGTGGTACCTTGTTATAATGTACAGTGGTCCCTACAGTGGTGGTCCCTACAGTGGTGGTCCCTACAGTGGTGGTCCCTACAGTGGTCCCTACAGTGGTGGTCCCTACAGTGGTGGTCCCTACAGTGGTACCTTGTTATAATGTACAGTGGTCCCTACAGTGGTGGTCCCTACAGTGGTGGTCCCTACAGTGGTACCTTGTTATAATGTACAGTGGTCCCTACAGTGGTGGTCCCTACAGTGGTGGTCCCTACAGTGGTGGTCCCTACAGTGGTGGTCCCTACAGTGGTACCTTGTTATAATGTACAGTGGTCCCTACAGTGGTGGTCCCTACAGTGGTGGTCCCTACAGTGGTGGTCCCTACAGTGGTCCCTACAGTGGTGGTCCCTACAGTGGTGGTCCCTACAGTGGTACCTTGTTATAATGTACAGTGGTCCCTACAGTGGTGGTCCCTACAGTGGTGGTCCCTACAGTGGTACCTTGTTATATGTACAGTGGTCCTACAGTGGTGGTTTCCCCACAGTGGTGGTCCCTACAGTGGTGGTCCCTACAGTGGTACCTTGTTATAATGTACAGTGGTCCCTACAGTGGTGGTCCCTACAGTGGTGGTCCCTACAGTGGTCCCTACAGTGGTGGTCCCTACAGTGGTGGTCCCTACAGTGGTACCTTGTTATAATGTACAGTGGTCCCTACAGTGGTGGTCCCTACAGTGGTGGTCCCTACAGTGGTGGTCCCTACAGTGGTCCCTACAGTGGTGGTCCCTACAGTGGTGGTCCCTACAGTGGTACCTTGTTATAATGTACAGTGGTCCCTACAGTGGTGGTCCCTACAGTGGTGGTCCCTACAGTGGTGGTCCCTACAGTGGTACCTTGTTATAATGTACAGTGGTCCCTACAGTGGTGGTCCCTACAGTGGTGGTCCCTACAGTGGTGGTCCCTACAGTGGTACCTTGTTATAATGTACAGTGGTCCCTACAGTGGTACCTTGTGTTATAATGTACAGTGGTCCCTACAGTGGTACCTTGTGTTATAATGTACAGTGGTACCTTGTGTTATAATGTACAGTGGTCCCTACAGTGGTACCTTGTGTTATAATGTACAGTGGTACCTTGTGTTATAATGTACAATGGTCCCTACAGTGGTACCTTGTGTTATAATGTACAGTGGTCCCTACAGTGGTACCTTGTGTTATAATGTACAGTGGTACCTTGTGTTATAATGTACAGTGGTCCCTACAGTGGTACCTTGTGTTATAATGTACAGTGGTACCTTGTGTTATAATGTACAGTGGTCCCTACAGTGGTACCTTGTGTTATAATGTACAATGGTACCTTGTGTTATAATGTACAGTGGTACCTCGTGTTATAATGTACAGTGGTCCCTACAGTGGTGGTCCCTACAGTGGTACCTTGTGTTATAATGTACAGTGGTCCCTACAGTGGTGGTCCCTACAGTGGTACCTTGTGTTATAATGTACAGTGGTCCCTACAGTGGTGGTCCCTACAGTGGTACCTTGTGTTATAATGTACAATGGTCCCTACAGTGATACCTTGTGTTATAATGTACAGTGGTACCTTGTGTTATAATGTACAATGGTCCCTACAGTGGTACCTTGTGTTATAATGTACAGTGGTCCCTACAGTGGTACCTTGTGTTATAATGTACAGTGGTCCCTACAGTGGTACCTTGTGTTATAATGTACAATGGTCCCTACAGTGGTACCTTGTGTTATAATGTACAATGGTCCCTACAGTAGAACCTTGTGTTATAATGTACAATGGTCCCTTCAGTGGTACCTTGTGTTATAATGTACAGTGGTCCCTACAGTGGTACCTTGTGTTATAATGTACAATGGTCCCTACAGTGGTACCTTGTGTTATAATGTACAGTGATCCCTACAGTGGTACCTTGTGTTATAATGTACAGTGGTCCCTACAGTGGTAACTTGTGTTATAATGTACAATGGTCCCTACAGTGGTACCTTGTGTTATAATGTACAATGGTCCCTACAGTGGTACCTTGTGTTATTTAAAGTACAGTGGTCCTACAGTGGTACCTTGTGTTATAATGTACAGTGGTCTCTACAGTGGTACCTTGTGTTATAATGTACAATGGTCTCTACAGTGGTGCCTTGAGTTATAATGTACAATGGTCCCTACAGTGGTACCTTGAGTTATAATGTACAGTGGTCCCTACAGTGGTACCTTGTGTTATAATGTACAATGGTCCCTACAGTGGTACCTTGAGTTATAATACTTTTATAATAACTCTGAGTTATTATGTACGTTGTAAAGTGCAGAGTATCAAGAGTGCGGCAACATGACTTAGTTTGTCTGAGGATCAAGAGTGCGGCAACATGACTTAGTTTGTCTGAGGATCAAGAGTGCGGCAACATGACTTAGTTTGTCTGAGGATCAAGAGTGCGGCAACATGACTTAGTTTGTCTGAGGATCAAGAGTGCGGCAACATGACTTAGTTTGTCTGAGGATCAAGAGTGTGGCAACATGACTTAGTTTGTCTGAGGATCAAGAGTGCGGCAACATGACTTAGTTTGTCTGAGGATCAAGAGTGCGGCAACATGACTTAGTTTGTCTGAGGATCAAGAGTGCGGCAACATGACTTAGTTTGTCTGAGGATCAAGAGTGTGGCAACACGACTTAGTTTGTCTGAGGATCAAGAGTGCGGCAACATGAGTTAGTTTGTCTGAGGATCAAGAGTGCGGCAACA